GCCACAGCAGCAGCTACCTCTTTGGGAGAGAGACAGAAAGGAAGGGCTCAGACTGGAAGTGGAAGGAAGATCTGCCTGCCTGGGTGGTAGACAGTGGTGGGGGGGGGGGGCGCTTGTCCCTTAAAGGGACAGAACAGACCATTACAAGGGGGTAGGGCACTGTAGGGTAGGAGTGTGCAGGAACTGGACAGTAAGAAGCTACAGCTGAACCTAGCTGTGTGCAGAAGAACACTCTTAACACTCTTACATGGAAGCTTGACACCGTCAGTCTTCTCTGGCAGTGGTGATGTCACACCTTAGGTCTTCTCTGTGAGTGATGATGTGACATCTCAGGTCTTCTCTGTGAGACTCTGGGTCTTCTCTGAGTGATGATGGTAACACCTTGGGTCTTTGCTGCACACACAACAGCAGGGCTCTGCTTCAGCCTGCCCTTCATCTGCTGGTTCTTTTGCCCTTCATAACAATAAGTAGAACACTTGTGTCCTCTGATGCTCATATCTCCTGGGGAAAGCACGTGGTAGCTTCTACGCTGCTAGAACTGACCGTAGATCCTCTGCTGCCTTGACTCCCCGAACACCCTGTCCATGGTCTTCTAAACAGACCTCTTTCTGCACACAGTGACTCGCGCTGGCTCTGACCTGCCTCCCCCACACCTGTTCATTGCACATTTGGCACGGAGGGCACCACACGGTGGCTGGGTTGGGCTTTTCCCTCTGATTTGCAGCCCGAGTGTTGGATGGGCCCTCGTCCACGTTGCATGATTTACTGGTCAGTATGTTACTCTACCACAGTGTCAGGACTTTCAGCGTAAACGGACACACTTGCAGGGGATATGAACCTTTGTTTGGGGGACTGGAGAGATGGCTCAGTGATTAAGAGCACTGGCTGATCTTCCAGAGGACCCAGGTCCAGTTCTCAGCACCCACAAGGCAGCTCACACCTGTCTATAACTCTAGTTCCAGGAGATCTGACATCCTCACACTGACGTCCATGTAGGCAAAATGCCAATGCACATAAAATAAAAAAGTAAAGTAAAAGGAATAAATCATTTAAAAATAAGGAACCTTTGTAAATTTCAGCCCATGCTTCTGTAGTTTACGTCCATGTTAAAATGTCGTTGTGGAAGCACAAGCCGTACAGTCTCTGGGTTGGCGTTGGCTGAACTCAGACTGTGGCTGGGATTGCATAATGGGATGACAGCCACTGTGGGCTTGTTAGAGCAAGAAAAATCCAGATGGTTCTCACAGCAGCAGTGGGCCACAGATGGCATGTCAGATTCTCAGAGTTCACTGGTGGTGAAATGAACATGCAAGAGAATAATTAGAAACCAAGACAGAAAGGGGAAAGAGTGGTTTTTCACTGAACCAGGGACAAGCTTGCAGACTGAGCTATGAGCTCCTGAATCCCCCTGCTGCTGGAGTGCAGCCAGGCCTGTGTGCTGTTAATCCTTGGAGCTCCTGGGTGTGCGTGCGTGCGTGCGTGCGTGCGTGCGTGCAAGAAATGAGGGTGATGCTTTAGAAGAACAAGTGGCCTTTTCCTTAGAGGATATGCTCTTCTTGTGGGCAGAGGTAACAAATTGGGCGGGAACAGGGGGAAGGCTTCGTGTCCAGGAAGACTGCACTTGTGAGAGCCCAGAGAAGGAGGGGATGAGAGGCTGGAGAAGACGCCAGAGATGCTGAGCCACCAACCACTGAGGCACTGACCGGGGCAGCGGTTCTCAACCAGTGGGTCGCCACCCCAGAATAGCCTGCATATCTGATATTTACATCATGATTCATAACAGTAGCAAAATTACAGTTATGGAGTAGCAATGAAGTAGTTTTATGGTTGATGTCACCACAACACGAGGAGCTGTATTAAAGTGTTGCAGCATTAGGAAGGTTGAGGACCACTGGACTGGGAGCGTAGCAGTGAAGCATCCCCCGAGCATGCCTGTCCTGATGTAGACCAGGATGGAGGCGAGGATGCAGAGAACGGGGTCTGATCTGCGACTCCCAAACAGGCGTTGCGTCAGCAGAGCCACTGCAAGTTCCTGAGCCGTGCTTGGTTTCTAAGAGCTGGTCCTCCGCAGTGGTTGGAGGAGACACAGAGGGACTTCTGGTCGGCAGGAGGGGAGACAGGGAAGGCCACTAGCCAGACACAAAAGGAGAGTTTAGATTGGGAAGGAAGAGAGGCGGGGTGGGGAGAGCCTAGTGAGGCGCAGAAGACCCCGAGAGCCAGGCTCAGAGCAGGCGAGGCAAGTGGGTGTTTCTGAGGCGGGAAAGTGCAAAAGGAAGCAGGGCTTGCTGTCATGTAGCCAGCTACAAGGTGACGCCGTGAGCTCCTGAAAGGGGATGTTGAGAGCCTGTGCCGGGCCAGCAGACTGACTGTGGACAACTGGACGGTGAAGTCACACCAGAGCAACAGGCAGTGTGCTCGGGACTAGTGAGCAGATAATCAGCCCCACACACTGCACCAGGGATAGCATGCCTGGGGACACAGGAAGACGACATTCCACGTATCTGAGGAGCTGGGCCAGAAAGATGTGCTATTGGAACATGGAGACTTAGCGGGGGAGGATGAGAGCCTGGGTGTGGCCCAGGATTGGCTCGGGATGCGGGAACTCGGAGGAAGAGAAGGGGATGGCTGCTCGGCTATTAACTAGAGCTGCTCTGTGGCCGCTGGGCCCCTAGTAGATAGGAAAGACGGTTCTCAGTGCATGGGCGTCTATCGGGAATTTGGTATGGAAGCCAGGAGATTACTCTAGGGTGGGTGTAGACGCAATGGGGTCTGTTTCAATTGGGATAAACACTGAGCAAAGCAACAAGGGGGGCAAGCATTGGTTTGGCTTCCACTTCGAGGTTATAATCGGCCACTGAAGGTACTGAGGGCAGAAGCTTAAGACAGGAACTGTGAAAGAACACTGCTGGCTAGCTCTCTGACTCACGTGTCATGCCTAGCTTTCCTATATACATATGCCCGCCTGCCCCAGCAGTGGTGTTGCCCACAGTAGGCTGGCTCTTCCTACATCACTTAGTAATCACAACAGTTCCCTCAAAATGTGCCCACAGGCCAAGCTAATCTAAGCACTTCCTCATTTGGGGCTCCCCCATCGGGTAACTGTGAGTAAGGGGGCCATCTAGCTTGGAGAGTGGGGCTGACGAGGAGCCCACAGAAGACAGAGTGGTGTGGAGACAAACAGAAAGGCTTACTGCAGGGTAAAGAGCTGGTGGTCCTGTAATGTCAGCTTGTCAATACAGTAGCCTGTGCCAGGTGCTGCCAGGGGTGTGCTGGGGACTGAGACCAAGGTGACCTACAAGGTTGAATTGTGTTCCCCTGCAAGATTATATTGTTGTCTTAACCCTGTGCACCTTAGATATGACTTTATCGAAACAGATCTGCTATTGATATAGTCAGTGACTTAGGAGATGCCATCCTGGGGTCGGGTGGGCTCCACCTCCAATATGGCAGGTGTCCTTATACAAGGAATGAACTTGGCCATAGGCACACATAGAGGCGAGATCGTGTAGGAATACTTGTGGGGAAGGTGTTCTGTAACCTGGGCCAAGGGGTACTGGGAGGGGCAAGAAAGGACAGCCCCAGGGCCCTTGGCGGGAGCATCTTGGCTTACAGAACTGTCAGAGAAGACTTACACTGTCAGGGTGTGGAACTTGATCACAATGCTCCAGGAAAAGAGCAGACTTTACAAAACAAGGTTTGGGGCTGAAGAGATGGGACCGTGGTTTAGAGCCTGTACCGCTTTTCGGAGGCCCTTAGCTTGGTTCCCAGTTCCTACACCAGCTAGCTCATGACTGCCTGTAGCTCTATTCCAGGGGATCTGATCCCATCTTTTGTCCTTTATAAGCACCCGCACATACATGATATACACACTTCACACACATAACTAAAAATAAAACAAGTTTAATACGTAAAAGAAATCAGGATTGTCTCTAACTGGGAAATAGCCCATGTAGATGGAATAAGGATGTGGCTTCTTGAGTTGGGCACAGATGTGGTAATCATAGTTCCTGTACCCCACACTGAACGTTTAAAGATAAAATAATGTCTAAGGAAATAAATAATGTTTAATGTTTAAAAATA